GATCTAGTGGCAGCTGCTATGCAGACACATTAATCCAGCCTATCACACTTGTACAAGCTGAAAGATTCTGTACAACGATAAATTGTGCTTATGTAGTTTAGCATGTTAGAATTTGATATATTTCCAGTTCTTGAGTTGTTGCTGATAAGTAGCCTAGCTATCAGTCTTGTTCCAGAAGCTGTAGATTAATTTTTATAGATTTGCTATTGTTCATTTATCTTTTTTTTTATAGCTTTACAAATACTTTCAAAGTTGAAAAGAATGTAATTAAAGCACAGCAAACAATATGTAGGGTTAGTAGTGGTTACAAATTTAAAAAAAAAAAAAAACAACAAAACAAACAAAAAAACACACACCAAAAAAACACACCACATTTCTGAATGCCAGCAAAGCAATTTAGCAAAGGAAAATCCACTGATATCTACAGTGCCAAAAAGAGGGAGCGGAAACAATGCACATAGCTTTGAGTGTTCTGGCTTTCCCGTACCACACTCCCACTTCGCTCTAGCTATCTGTCTATTGTACTATAACAAATAATAAAAGAATTAAATGCTCTAGCAATCAAGGCTGGCATATTAAAATGACACTCTGCATTACTGAACCTACTCATCTCTTAATAGAGCTGTTCTTCAAAGGAGATTAATTATACTGGCAAGAGACCTTTTGCTATTCTAATTTGAGAAACGTATTTCAATACCATAAGCATATTAAAACAGCTGCAAACATGTAACTAGCTCCAGGATCCCAGGACTCACTGCATTTAATTAGGTGTTCATCTTGTGACCAGCTCTTTAGTCATTGCTTTAGAAGTCCACTTCATATAAAAATTTTTAATTTCTAGACTTAATTAACTGCAACTGTAATTAACATACAGCCCACCATAAAGTATACAGATAGGAAAGGGACCATATACTTCAGTACCTAACACCATGACAGAGGGACAAATACTGCTTTAATTAGAAAGCAGAGAATTTTTATTTATTTTAAAATAAGTTATTGGCATTACATTTCATATCGCAACATTTGATGGACAGCACAAACACTGCCATGACAAACTGAAAATACATCATATTAGTAACACACAGAATTGCAGCACACAAACATCTCTGCAGCTCACTGAACTGTACACAAAGCAACAAACGAGTATTCCACATTAAATCTCTGAGAACTAATGCTTTGTTTTAAAGCACAGTTATTTTCATTAACTTAAGCTATGAAGCTTCAAGGCATTTGCCTGCCTCTAGAGAACAGGCCCGTATTTTAACATTACTTTTTTTAATCCCCGTCAGATAAGTACTTAGATGCCAAGTTCACACGAGCATTTTCCCTTCCTGTTGATACAGTCAAATTATAACCACTCTTAAGAACAGAAATTTAAGGCAAACACCAAACAGGCACCAAACTAAGACACAAGGCAATTAAATCAAATCAGAAGAATTTCAACATAGTAGCATGTCTGAAATTGCTAGGACCACAAACACCTCATTGTGAAATCAAAATTAGTGGTAACACAAGTACACTGCTTTTTGAACTTTAAAGATTTAAGTTTCTTTTCACAGCCTGATGGTGCAAAACTGTCTAGATCCCCCTAAAAATTCCAAGGGCTAACAATCCCAGTGATACATCCAAGGTACACCCGTTCACTTAAGAGGTTATTGCTTCTAATCAGCCTTACCACGTAATATAAATTCACCCAGTTACTTGCAGCTCTACAGAGCAGTGCACACCAATATTTCCTCGTTTGAGTAAAACTTGTTATACAGGCAACTCTACGGAAGTTCAGCAAAAAAAGCTTCTAGCTTTGCTTTTAGTCTACTGTTTAACAACAATTTCTGTTGCATATATGACTGCTCACAAATAACTATCTTTTCCTACTCTTTTCTCCTTGCACTTCAGCGATTTCAGATATTTAGAGGTAATAAGGAACATCTACAAACAAACTGTATGTCCCTTTTGGTTTGCAATTCAGTCTTGACTACATCCATTTGAATTTCCCCCCTATACAGAATACTCTCTACATAGAAAATGCTAATTTAGCAGATTAGCTAATTTAGCAACATTCTTCAAAAATATGTTCACTTCACCAAAACATTTCGACAGAAACCATGCAGAAGAGCAGATGTCAGCTCCAGCTCTTCAATTCCTTGGACAGTTATCCCTTTCAGCTTCATCTCCCCTAGCTATTCTCTAGGGAAATAGGCAGAGGTAGCTACTCAGAAAGCTGTTTCCCAACTAAACTTGTTTTAAATGGTCAAGTTCCCACGCCCACAACTCCCTAGGCTTCCAGGAATATTTTCTTTCAGGTATCAGGCAGCTTAAGTAGCATTGAGATGGAGCTTCCCAAAAAAGAAATTATTCTTCACACACACATCTTTTTTCCTGCTTTTTGTCAAAAGCACAATGAACATTCTCCTCCTAATTCACCTTCTATCCTAAAAAGGGCCCACAGGAACAAAACGTTGCATTCACTGAGCAGGAGCAGTGTAAAAGCAAGGTAAAAACTAAAGCACAGGATCACACCACTTTTTATTTATAGCACAAAATCATCATGAGTATTCCCAGACTCACTCACCAAACCAGCAGTAAGTGAAGGAGCAGATTGTCCTAGAGACTGATTTCTCATGCGAACCAGGTTTGAGGTATCTCCAGGTGGCTGCCACACCGTCTGTCCCACTCCACTGTGGACACTATTTGATAAGGGAAGTAACTGTTTTCCTTTAAAAATAAAACCAAAATAATATCAGCTTGTTTTTAAAAAAGTGTGCAAGTTTAAAATACAATTCTGAAAACAACTATTCCATGTGGAAAAAAGTGTTTAATAAAAAAAAAAAAACAAAAACAAACAATTTACAGGTTTTCATAGGTTAGAACTTGTAAGAGCAAACTACCTGCGAATTCATTGTGTTTGATAACTAAGTATTTCCACCAAAATCTAGTTTACATTATGAGATAATGGGTAAATCCAAAGCCTTGTAGAAACAGACTTCTACCACTTTTTACCTTTCCATACTTCACACAGCTCAAAAAGGAAACAGTATTTGCCAGCCAATTAAACACTTTATTGCCCTATAGAGAGGAAACATTAATGTTGCAAAATCTCTTAAGTATAATTCTTAAAATTCTTGTGCAAATACATTCATAATTGTAAAATATTACCTCTTCCAAATAGCTTAGCCATCTAGACACACTGACGTTCCCCTACTGTTGGAACATTCAGCAGCAGATTTCATGCAGCTGTGATCAGAATATAGTCTATGTTTAAATATTGTTTTGCTTTGAACCATGGATGGATATTTTCTACCTAAAAAGTTTCACTGTTCAGCAATATCACATTATCTCAAAAGCAAAATGCTCTGTAGCTTTCCCAAGTCTCCCTGGTATCTGATTGATTAGTGTAGACTCTAATCACCAGTGCTATATACACAAACAGTGCGAAGAGTAGTTCCTGTCTCAACAAGTCCACACCATTGCACTTTACTGCAGGAAGAACAATAATCATTTAAAAGGATCTGCTCAACATGTTTTTTTCTAGTCAACATAACACTCCTTTTTGAAAAATGTCAAGCAGTAAATTTCCACAAAGAGAAAGACCCAAAGTCAGAGTATTTAGTGTTTTGACTCCATCAAGCTTGACAGTTTCCTTTTATGCACGATGTCATTCACAAAAAAAAAAAAAAAAAAAAAAAGAAGAAAGATAGTCTTGTGGTTAAAAACACATAAGTGAAAAAATCTGTAAATCTGGGTTCCATTATTAGCTTCCAGATGACTTCCTCTGTAACTTTGGTCAGTCAACCTCTGTGCTTCAGTTTCACCATCTGCAAAATGGGGGTGAATAATACCTCTTGTCCTTAAAATTAGGACTGTGAGACCAAATAACACACATCCCTCCCTTCCAAGCATGGTGAAGATAATTGCATTCAACAGATTATTACATGCTCAGATACTGCCATGGGAATCACAGGGGACTAAGACATTTATTGTAATAATTAGCAGGAAGTCGTCTACGTCTTTACTCCCATATACTGCAGAAAAACACTTTTTCCGCAGAGGCTGCAAGCTATTTTGCAAATTCACCTTCACCTTAGAATCAGATGTGAAATACCACATTCACTACATAAAAGCAGCTACACTATTTGGAAGACTGTCACACAAAATGATTAGTCATGATGCCAGGGGGGTGAGCAGTGGGAGTGGTGTCTTTCTTTTTTGTCTTTTTTTGCTGTTGTTTTTTTAACTTGCTTTAATTTTCTGTGAAAGTTACAAGCAAGGGGACAAGTACACATTAATAGAATGAGTCAAAGTGCATGAGAGATGAGAAGGCTCAAATCCAGCCAACAGAGACACAGCATATTAGTACCTTTTTCCCAGTCCCACTCAAGCTGCTTACAGCTGTGGACATGATTTTCATGGTTTGCTCGTTTTCAAGATTATGTGTAAATACAGTAACTCCTCTTGTCTAAAGAGATCTAAAACTACAGAAATGTACATTGCTGTAGTTATCTCAGTAAAGCACTGACAAAGATATCCTACAAGAGCAATTCAAACTATATAATTATCTAACAGTTCAAAATACCAGTGCTTGAGAGCAAAAGTAACATTATTTAAATCTCCATAAGACGTAGTTATCGATATCTTCTTTTAGTTTCACAAAATCTGAAGCCGGGAAGACAGAATTCCATCAAGAGTCAAATCTAAGCCAACCAGTTTGTATGCACAATCATCTATACTCTTTAAAATTATTTTCTTCTGTTGCAAAAATAAGGTGTAATTATTTTTGGGATGCAGCTTGAAGCTAAAGCCTTTCTCTGCCATGTCTCAGACACCTACATTTAAAATATATATCTAAACATCTACATTTCCTTTATCCAATTGGGTCAAACCAGTCTTGTTGGGGCCCTTTTTTCCTTCCTGAATCAGGCTATAGTAGATTGAAAAGTCGTTAAGATGAAGCAACAAGTTCTGGAGAACATTATCATCTCAGAACAGAAAATTTAGAATAATGTTAACTTCAAACAGAAAAATTATTTTTAAAAAAGAAACAGAACTACTTCAGTTTTCATGCTTCCTCCTATTTACTTTTCTTTGCTTACTCCTACTCAAAGAAAAAAAAACACTCCAAAACTAAACAAAACAAAAAAAAACCCCACACCAACTACAGTACTATCTTCAGCTATTGTAATCAGCCAACAACCATGTACTTAAACTTCTGCTCTCCTCTAGCAATTAACCTGCCTTAGAAAACAAACTTACATGAGCATAAAACATTATGGATGTTTCCATTTTTCAGAAACAAGCCACTTATGACAAACAAAACGTTAAGACAAGGCCAAGCCAAAATAAAATGTGAACACTCTACTGCTTATTTAATTCTAACAGACCTAGCACCTAATGTTTGAACATTAAAATATTTTTCTTCCCCGATGAAGGACGGACGGACCAGGACTGGATGCATTTTCACAATCATGTAAGTCAAGCCTACGTTGCTGTCAAAATGGGTGGTTTCACCCTCTTCCTCTTCCCCTCCCACCTGAGGGTTTCCAGCCTTTCATTCTTTCCCTGACATGCAAATAGTCAAACAGTCAGCCTCATTAGGGAGGAAACGGGCTGCAAGTTAACCCTACAGAACAACAGTGGTGTTCAGGCAGATCAGCTATTTCATTCTAGACTGATCATGCAGCTCTGTATGTTCCAATGCCAGCATCACAGACTTTGATACCAGCTTTAAACATTTGTGAAGCCATCACCCAGCCCATTGACGATGTCTGTGAAAAAGAAAACTACTGAGCTTGGTCCTCCAGTTTTTGGCTAATTACTAGATGATGCTCACTCCATCATTGCACAGTAGACAAACTAAATTCTCTGACAGGGCCAAAGACTGTTCACAAGAAAAAAACAAACATATAAACTGAAAAACACCTAGTTAATAAGCAAGATTTTTTACTTTGAATTACAAATGCCTACAGTGCTTTTGAAGCCAAAAAGAAAGTAAATAATAATTCGCACCTGATATAAAAGTCAGCTTTCCAGTGAGAAACAATACAGCAAAGTAGGTAAGCTTACTGTCAGTTCTGACCTTAAAAGTAAGAGGCCAGAACACATCATTGTGTCGCCTTAAGCTCCATCATTCTCTTCTTTTAACATTGCACATAAACTCTTAGCTTCCAACTTTTCACTCTGGGCAACATACAGAATTTCTCCAAACCCAATCTCTCTTTTTCACTCTTTTCTACTAATATCTCTTTTTGCATCTTTCTCTTACAAAATTTTATGCATGCCCTCCTAACAAGAGGTCGCCCCTGGTTTTAAAGAAACGACTTATCAATATCTTTTATTACTATGTTGCTATGCCAACAAGTAATACTGCATCTTTAATACTAATGAACTGTCATATGGTCTTTACAAAACGGCCTACCTGACAAAGAGCTTGCCAAACTACCTCTTCGCAGCTTGCAGTCATCTTGACTTAGCTGACGATGGAGCTTGGTTTTCCCAGCAGATGAAAAGATGTCAGGATTGCTGAGCTTCCTGCAACGTAATGGAGCGGACTCTGTTATCATCTCCTGTAGAAACGAAAACAACCAGAAGTTTGTTAATGACAGCTAAGTATATGTTTTCTGAAACACACAATCTCAAAAGCATAAAGGAGACTATAAAATAATAATAATAAAAAAACAATCAACCATCAAACACATCACACACACAAAAAAAAACCTGCTTAAAATTAAAACCTCTTTTGTGCCACATATCTGCATGGAAAGCATATCACAAGATCCCAGTCAAATATGGGCCTTGAACACTGGTGCTGTAAGGAACATCATTAACAATAGTCAGAAAAAGGTAATTATGGTACAGTAGTTATTTGCTCTTGCAGTGTATGTAGGAAAAGAAGCTACTGAAAAATCAGGCTGTTTCGATTCAAGCTATATCCAGCTAAAGCGAAGAGTATTTTCTCCTAATTTCTTGAATATTTATTCCATCCAGTCTTTGAGTAATATACTCATAAAGAAACTCCTGCAATGTCTAATTGTAACCCAAAACTCCTACTATAAGTTACAGCTCTACTACAAGACCATATGTATCACTACATAATAATTAGGATAGAGATCATCCTTCGTGCAACGTCCTTGTTATTACTATAAACAAAATTAGACACGTATTTGTCAGGAACACTCCCACACATGTAAACTCCTTTCACACCATACAGCAAACTTTCCATCAAAATAGCAGTAGGTGGAACAGTGGCAAGCACAACCAAAGCGTTTTCCTCACGCATTTAATTGTTCTGGGGGTGTCAAACTCATTTCACAACCAAAGAAGGATTATGAGCATAGCTACCACACACGGATTTGAAGATAATGTCACACCTTCCATTATAGGCTATATGGATGAAGTTCTCCCTTCTCTGCAGTATCACAAAGCATTCCACATGTCTTAATGGATTGCTCCATGTTATTTCAAATGCCTCTCATTAGCTATGCAGCACTTCAAGCCATGCTTATCCTCATAAAAATCTCATCTGAGGCAGAAAATAAACTGAAAGGAACACTTTCCCTGCATGATACATCACCGCGTGGTTTAACGTAGATTTAAATCATGTTTAAATCAAAAATTAATCTACCAGTAGCGGGTTTTAATTAAAATTTGCAGATTCCAGTCAAAATCTATTTCTGAGGTCATTAATTCAAATCTATTCAGTCTACAGTGTTATGCCTCAAACTACCAAATCCAGACCAGGACTACACGCTTTAAAACGTCAAGAATTTACGCGAGTGTTTGGGTTTTGGTTTGGTTTTTGCTGTTGTTGTGGGGGTTTTTTGGGGTGGGGGAGGGAAGGAAGAGAGGAAACGAATAAAGTGGCTTCACCTGAAAACAACTGAATTTGGATTTGAAATAGAATCCTCACTTAGCTCTGAGTCACTCATTCTCGACCTTTCGTAGACTCCATCTCCTTTTAATCACGGAATCTTTTGGCACCTCATTGTTATTTGTTTGAGGGACAGGAATGCTTTGCTCCACATCTGCTTTGGTGGTGCACCTTTCACAGGTTGAGAGATACTGCTCTGATGTAATTTCTTCCTCTGGTTATGGTGAGACATTCAGTCACTGCCCTGTCTAAACCAGACCAAGAGAGAGACTTGGGCAACTTCAAGTAGGTCAGTTCACTCATCCAGTTCATCACACAGCTGCAAACACTTGTGTTGGCACAAGAGTGGAGAGAGGCACAAAAACAAGTGACCAGGGGTAGAGAAAACTGCTTGAGCTGAAAACTGCTTTAATCTTAAGGTAGGTTCCTCACACATCTTGGAGAAAAGAACCTCACATTTTCATTTGCCTCTGATCTTTCCACAAAGGTACTGAAGACCTTCATTTCCAGCAGCCTGTACTTCCAGCAGCCACTAGTTGTGGATGCCCCATCCCTGGAAGTGTTCAAGGCCAGGTTAGATGAGGCTTTGGGCAACCTGGTGTAGTGGAGGATTTCTCTGCCCATGGCAGGGAGGTTGGAACTAGATGATCTTTAAGGTCCCTTCCAACCCTAACCATTCTATGATTCTGTTTTTCTGTCATTTGGAGAGCTGAAAAGACACGTACCACACTTTCTGTTTGTACTTAAGAGTAAGCTAAGTAATTTTAAATTGCAACATTAGCAGTCCCCCAGCAGGCCTCTGAAAGCTGTGGAGGCCAAGGGCAGGAAGTCTGTGCTGTTTCTATTTGGGATAGTGGAAGGTGGTTACATGTGTACACATATCTAAGTAGATACACAGACATATACACACACACACTTTTAATATGGCCTGTCCTAAATGCCTATAACATCTAAAAATCTGTCATGTGTTTCCCCAACTGTGACAGTCAAGAATTACCATACCTCAAAAAAAAACAAAAAAACAAACAAAAGCCAACCATGGGCAGTCCAGGTTTCAAGCAAACCATCCAGCCTACCCTGTCACACTCCCTATGCTTCAATTCCAACAAATGTTCCCAGCATCCTTCAATATCTAGTGACTTCCCTGAAACTAGTCATAACTCCCTTGAAAGGCCCTATGCACAAGATGCTACTGGTCAACCCCGCAGCCCATGTAGTGCCCTCTTACATAAATCCCTAGAAAAGCCAGCTTTTTCCCCACTCTCGGCCTGCACAGGTCATTGCCATGATTGTCTTGCCTTCATCAGTGCACTCAGGTTCCTTTAGGAAGGGGAAGTACAGTCTTGCTTGTCAGGCTGATGCAGCAACTGTAGTTGCTCTTCCACCATGCAGGTTTATATACCATTAAACTCACTTTTCAAATATTAAAAAAAAAAAAAAAAATCCAGTGCCCTCTTCTGAAACAGCTTATTATGTTTTTAAAAATGCTAAGTACAACACGGTCAATTTAAAACTTCATTTTCTAAGAGCTATGCCTATATCGTGTCAGTGAAACAACGAAAAGAGAAAGTTTTAACTTGACAACAATAGAGTTGTCTTTCATAAGACTGCAATTTGTTTCACTCATCCACCAAAAAACAGCTTTACTATTACAGTTCACAGACGAACTACATGGAAATAGCAGTGGTTTATGATACCACTCTTAAACAAGGAAGAAAAAAAACCTACAGGAAGAGATCTTTCCTTGTCCTTTCCTCAAAGCAAGATGCAATAAATACAAAGGACAGAAAAGTCTTACACAGCATTCCCAATCAACAGACAAAGAAAACTCTGCAGTGATTAAGCAAAATTTTGCTTACATGCTTTTAAATTAGTAAATACGACTGCCAGCGTAAGTAATTTTAAGGACTCTACTTCCACTTCCGAAAGGAAAAAATTCTCACGGCTTTAGAAATGAAAGTATTGGTAAGCACGTAACAGACACACTTTGTTCACACAGCGTGAAAGGGACTGTGAGCCTCTCTCCATTAATTTCTTTTCAAAGGTGACAGAAAAAAAAACTTCTTAATTTACTTTGGCCTTGTAGCTTTTGCCACAAGCTAAAAATCAGATTCAAACAGCCAGATGAATCCTGCAAAGCTTAGGGCTGAAGATAAAAGAATCACACAAACAACCTTGATGTGCTAGGCAAAGATTTTTCCTATCGGTCCCTTCAAAGGTACACCAAAATTTGCTCACATAACTTGAGACAGTAGGATATGAAGAACAGCAAAGGCTTTTCTTGAAGAGTGAGGGGCTCTGCATTTTTCAGCTCAGCCACTTACCACGCTTGCACAGAAACACAGTTAAAACAGTTGTGGCACTGGATATACACACAAGCCTGCTCGTCTTGCCTGGAATCTCACATAGGGATTATTACACTCAGCAAGATGGAGAACCAGACAGACTCCAACAGTAGCTGCAGACAAAAGATAAGAAACTCAATGTGCTTCCTGATACATAAGATTACGATAATATCCTACATTAAAATCCTGATCTGGTAATTTCAGAATATAGCTAAAAGGTACCTCCTCAGTCACCTTTTCCCATTCCATTGCACAGTGAAAGTCTCCCAAGCAATTCAAGCAAGAAATAAAAGAACAAGCACATACACCACTGCAATGCTTTTCAGCAGCTTTTCTTTTTTCATGTTCATTTAACAGGGCTGCAAAAGAGTAACACAGCAGCACAGACCCTCAAAATGGCAGGTGAATCCTGAAGGTGTGGATGCCTGTCAAAGTAATTCCCTGAACTGCCAGATGAAGTACCGCACAGTTAGTGAGTCTAACACAGAAGCACTAGACAAATGTTAGGAAAAAACTTTCTTAAGACCTGTCTTTATGGCCTACATGTAAGGTGTAACAGATCATACAAAGGAGCACTTCCTTAAATGTAACTGTGTATAACTAATTCAAAAATATCTGTTTCCTAGAGGTCTCTACAACAAGCAGAAATACTCAAATATGACTAACAGATATTCAAATCTGCAGGTCAAAACATGTTAAACTATTAGCTGAGGTGGGCAGGGAAAAAAAATAAATCTACAAGAAAGTTTTATATGAACGGGTAATCCATGAACAAGAAAAATGAGAAATCATTTGGTTTTTTAAGCCTAATGAGCATAACCACCTAAGGTTATCTGGAAGTGATTTCTAGCAAACTATAGAAACAAAGAAAAGAATGAAAATTTAAATACAATAAATTAGCAAAGAATGCACTAATACTGCCCTATTTTGTAAGGATGAAAACCAGTGAGTAATGCAACTCAAGGATAACCTGACACTTTCTGAATTTTTTTTAAGCTGTAGTCAATGTTGAAAGACGCATTTCCCATTTTTTAATACAGTATCATTTGTCCTTTAAAAGATAAAAGCCTGTTGTGTCAGGATTATGTACATGTATCTGAGAAGCATTCTTTTCTTTCTCAGTCTTTCCTCATCACTTTATATAACGTGTGTACATACTCTTAAAAAAAGATAAATCTGATCCTGTCATTAAGTCTGCTCTAATATACTTTAAAATACATTGAAAAAGCAAATTAAAGGCCTAGAGAACATATCACAAACCCAATATCTATCTAAATAAGCAGCAATTAACGCAACGGAATCATAGTATTTATGCTTTAGTATTTAGTACTGAAATCTGCCTTAACTTTCT